GGGTAGTTGGATCTTAATCATTATTTTCCCATTTGATGATGGCTCTCAAACATTATTGTATCCCATGTGTAGTTTTCAGATTTTAACTTTGAGAAAAAGTGTGACGGAAGTGGATTTTGTTTGGTTCTTCCCCCTTACCTCGTCCCCCGTGACGTACTTCCGGTTTCCTCTACACTACATGGCGCTATATCACATGACCACATCACACATTTTGAATTTTACGAATTTTATTTCTTTTAACGGATTCTTAAAATAAAAAATAATTAAAAATAAGCAATCATAACAGCTTTCAAAATAAATAAATTATTGTTTATACAATTTTGTCACATTTTTTCAGAACTTACATAAAAGAAAAAAAAAAAAAAAAAACATTTCCGTACTGTATAAGTACAATAATTGATTTTTGTTGCGTTTTCTTCTTTCACAATTTTTCCTTTGAAATTGAGAACAAAATTCAGAGAGGTGGGAGGAGCGCAAATATATGCTGCAACGGTGGAAATTATTTTTCTTATAAGGATGAACTTATACATACACGCTTTTACGCATACTTGGCACCTTTTTTTTGTGTTGATGGAAAAAAAAAAGATTTATTTGAAAATAAAACAGGTTTATCAATCAGTGGATTTATAAATCCAATTCAAAGTGATTTTTCCATAAAGTTACATTTTAAATTGAAAATTTTTTAAATTACACGGGTACAGTTCAACGATCTGCTATTTTATAAGAATATTTCTTATTTTCTTAGGAAGTTATTTTGAAACCATCGGAAGATTCGATGAAAGTGCACAGTATTGTACTGGCCAGCTACTATATCGTTTATATTTTATTGTGCCATAAAATATTGTTTATAATTGTTCTGTTATTAGATATTAAAATATTTATTGAATAACGTAGGCATACTCATTTCAACGATAATTGCACCACCTTTGTACAAAATATCGTTTCATACAAGGTGTACTTATATTTATAATTATATTATTTGGCATATAATTTTATAGAAGTACAACTTCTTACTTGGGTACCCAGGCACTCACTGTCCGCTGGTTTTTTTATCAATGTACTGTTAATGAGGAATTTTTCAGCTCGGAAGTATGCTTTTCACTTAAGGTAGTAGTCGAGCGCTCTACAGTGCGTGCCATACTGCACTGTAGTATATGCATAGGTTATGAGGTCCGCAATATACAGCTGTCCTTTTTCTTCTCATGCAGCTGCACTAAAGCTATCAATTTTGCCAGGCTCGTATTAAAAAACTATGTCGCTGAGCCCTTTCAAAGTTTAACTACAGTTGCTTTATAATATGAATTATATCATACTATTTTTTTGGAAACATTGTAAGAAGCGTTTTAGAGATATGAGCAATTTCGTTCACAAATCGACCCCCAATCTGGCACTTTCCTATACCTTCTGTGTTAAAAGTTCAACGTTAAAACTTTAATATCTTTGAAACCATATCGCCCGGCCTCTTAAAATTTTGGCTCATGATGAATAATTGCTATCTTAAGCCATATACAAAGTTTCAGGGAAATCGTAAGAAAAGTGTTTCTGGTCGACTACTACCTTAAACAAATTATATAAGTTGATTGAGTAAGAGACGTTGCTGAAATAAACGCTTGTAACAAATCATTGTCCATAAAAGGCTTTGTATTCTTTTTAGTTAGTATCGGCATATTTTTCCCTGACGATGGCGCTATTTCAAATTGCTGCATGAAGCGAATAGGATACATTCATTGAAAATGTGTGTGATGATCATAATTTTTTAGGTACCAATTTATTTAGAATTTTATGAGTTTTCATTGAGTGTGTTTTTTCATTGTCTCTTTATTTTTTGGATCACTTTTTATGGGATTTGAACTCAGCCATCAGCGCCACACTGAGGCTGCTTTTCCGGCTGTCACATAAAGTAAACACATCAGCACTTAAGGAGGTTCGGTAGTGTTAGCGGGGGGAAATCTCAGAGAGGCAAGGGGAGGGAGAGCGTCTGGCAACGTTGTGAATTTTTTCGGCTGCTGGCACGTCGTCTACTGTTGTTGTCGTCTACTGCTGTTGTCGTCGTCTACTGATGACAGTGTACTTATTTATTCGGTTGAATTTTTTATAATTAAATTTTCAATTACAAAAGGAGTTTTTACTATTCATTACATTTCAAAGCGCGCGCCAAAAGCAGCGTTGCCAAGTCGTCTGCTGCGAGCACATTTTTTGCTGTTTTTTAATAGAAATTTGTGGTAGGGCTCTCTCAAACTTTGACAAAATATTATTTTGACAATATTCTTTCATTTAAAAAAAAAAAAAAAGCAAGTTCATTTAGCCGTTTTTTTTTATGTGAAATTTAAGTGATTTCTCCATAAGCCTACATGTTAAAATATTGTTTTTTCAGGTCAATATATCTTGAAAACGGTGTGGTTAAACCCTTCAAAAATTTAGCTGTAATTTGATACTATTATCCCAAACAACATATCAAAATTCCAAAAATTTTCATCATAAAAAATTATCACTACCGAACCTCCTTAATTTTTTTTCACCTATGAAAGCATTATATAGCTAATGTTTTGTAGATGTTTACACAATGAATTGTAACAAAATGAATATTCAAAAAGGAGAAGCAGTGTGGTCTCTCAGAAAATCTCGTATTTATTGCTGTGTTAAGATTGTTCTAGTCGACCCATGTACAACCAAAGTTTATCATTCGATGCTTTTCCGTGTGATAAAAAATATATTTTCATATAAAATGTGGGCAATATGAGAAAATTGTGACTTGGAAAACGTGGGCCAAGGACATTGGTATAAAAAATATATGTAAGCAAAAGTATGCAGGTATGCTTCAAATATTTTCGAAAACAAGATTTTTTCACAGACTCTCATCCCAGTGAGTGAATTGTTTCATTTATATACTTACAAAATCGACATCTTTAATTCACTCGTTTGTAAATATAATGTTATTATGTTTAAAAATGCATTATCATTTGACACTCTTCCACATTTAATAATATGCCCCGCATGAAGAATTCTTTCTCCCTCAATGAAATTTCTGCTTGACGGGGAAGAGTTTCCAAATAAACATACCTACTTCTTCAAGCTTGAGATACATATTTTTAATTTCATAACCTATAAAGACAAGACTATTTTAATTTCATCATGCGCTGCTTGCGATAGGAATTATTACGCAACTTCCTTACAAACATGTATACATCATACAAAACAATAAATATTTATCAAACTAATTAATATAATTTAAAGTTTACTTTGTGTAACAAATGTTTGCATACTTATTTACCACGTACTATGAAGTGGATAAGAGCCTCTCACCCAGCTTCGCATATTTTCCACGAGGGTGCGTACTGCCAGAGTTTAAATCCCAACACCCAATATAATATGTACTGCTCTCAATAAGAGGCTATACGTTAAAATTTGAAAAGTTATCGCTTCATGGATCAAAAATTATGTGGTACAAAATATTGGAAAATTCTCACAACTTATCAACACATTAAATAGTTATGTTTAACAGTTTGACTTATTTCATTGAATTTTAACCATTTAACTTTTCAAGCGTTTGATTGGTAAGTCATAATTCGTTGTTCAATTGATTAAAAAGTAAGGTATGAGTCTTGTTTAATAGGAGTACATAAAAAAAAAAAACATTTTTGACATACGTTGGAATTTAAAAAGGTATAGTAGAATTTTACTGCGATTTCCTCATAACCACTTCAAAATCCCGAAGAAAAAAAGAAAAAAACATTTTGAATCAGTATACGTATCAAGTTATGCATCTGCTAAAACCGGAATGTTATGGGAATGAAAACAGATAAAATTATTAGAACACTCATGTCTCTTTTTTCTACATTACAAATTACAACCTAGTTAGTTTTTTTAGCGATACCCTCATATAAATATTGAGGAAAAAAAAAAAAAAAAAAAAAAAAAAACATGTATTTATTCATATCAAATTATTTGATGCAACAATAGTAAGCAAGAGTTTAACATGAAAAAAGAGAAGCTTGTCGCGGAACAATCCATATACATATTTTTGTATGGATTAGGTTTGTGTGCATGCATGGTACATCCTATACGCTATACCATACCCTATACCCCTGTTACCCCGTACTTAATACATTCGCGCAGGTAGAACGAAAAGCAAGAGAAAAGAAATAAAACGAGAAGAGAGGGGAGAAGGCGTGGGCGGTTTCAGAGCAAGAGCAAGAACACTACACAGTGCTTGCTGCGATGACCTATACGATATATAGGTATGCACAACAAAGGGCTCGGAATGCATAGAATGCATCGACTTTCTCTCTTTTTTTCTGTCTCACTTTTTTTCCTTAATCTTAAATTTCATTCGTCTTTCAACAATCTCCTGTTTCTATAGCTTTTTGAATTATTTTCCCAGCTATCCATTCAAGTCAACATCAGACAAATGTATGGACAAAAACAGCAGAAAGAATAAACCACAGTACCACACCATCTTTTATCGACAATCTCGCATCTGACGTTCACTCTTTTTTAGAGAAATTTTTCATGGTTCACTAATACTTATCTAAGTAAACTTCCGCCATTTTCGTCAGCTCATAAAAAATACAATTCATGGATAACATGAATTTCCAAAGCAAACGCCGCCATGTTTGTCAAGCATAATGAGCAGACCTTCACTCCTTAGTTCATGCATAGGATGTAAAGAAAAGCGACCACACGAAAGCAAGCAGAACTATACCTTACATGTATACACGTACTACTACTACTACGTAGCGTAGCGTGTGAAACATGGTTACACTCATACATAATACACGATATGCGTGTATGCTTGTGGGAGGGTATTTCTATGTAGATCGAGAGACGCGTTGTCAGAGCGTATAAGAGTGCTGAGATTTTTTTCTCACCATCTTCGACTCCAAAATACCTACTCATGGCACATCAATCATAAGCATCGTTAAAACTTAATATATGCACACGTATTACCCCCGCGAACCAACATCAACTGAATAAAACACTCTCGTCCATACTCAACTTACCAGTTTTACGGTGATCTTCTAGTCGTATGTAATTTAATATGACTACACTGCACTCCGAGCTGCAGGAGAGCTGCTTAAATCCCCTTTCTCAATAAACTTTTAAGAACAATGGGGAATGTTGGCATCAATTGAACAATACTTTTGTTGTAAACAATCAAGTTACACACGGACATCAATACACGAGCACCTGCTATAAACTCTCTCTCACACACAGTGTTTGATTTAATGATATCTCACACTTTATCCATGCACTGCACCACTTTCTTGTAGGTATGTGATCTCGCGTACGAACGACTTGGACCGCTTGGACGCGGAGATGAGATACAGCAGACACTACCAGCATCCACCCTTCGACGACGACGACTATACGTTGTACGGTTTCACTCAATTTTACTGTGTTGCAGGCGACGCACTATACCTTCACGGTCCGTGCTGTACTATATAGTACATTCTCTCTCACTATTCCCTGTACTTGAAGATTACTGAAGGGGAGCTTTTTTTATACTGACTCCAAGTACTCCGATTGACTCTCTCTTGGTTTCTTATCTCTCTTTCTCTCTCTTCAGATGATTCATGCTATGTATCCGGCATCCGCGTCCGCGACTCTTGACTCACTTCGCAATTGATGCAGAAAATAATGAGACCGTCACCTTACTGAGTTACTGCCATCAGCATCAGCAGAGCAGACGCCCAGTGTCGCCACAAGAGCAACTCCCGCGAAAATTTAAAAGTATAAAAGATTGGTTCGAGGCTTTCACTCATCAGGTACTCTCGGAGGACTTCCAAGGACTCTAAAAATATATAACTTTACATTGAAATATATATATCTATATTTAAGCCTCTAAACAGCTCAGAGCTCCCATCTCGAATAAATCTATTGATAAATAAGGGAATTTATTATGCTTTTATGCTTTTTTTTCCGTCAGAACTATCTATGCGTTCGAGGGATGCGAACTGGTGTATTTGAATGTTGTAACTCCAGTTTGAATTATTTTCAAAATGTTATCAATTCTTACTTTCTATTTGAAAAGTAAATCTCATCTTTGCCTCATTTTTAGACTTTTGTGAACAATAACAACACTATATCTGCCCCGGTGTTGTGTTTACATAAATGACAATAATGTTCTCAAGTCTAGTTCATAAGTACAAAAATTACTTCCAAAAATGCACAGTAAATTAAACAGGTTGAGGAAACATTAGTGCACTAGTTCAATAATTAGTACAAGTTTCTTTGTAATTTCGGAACAAACGATCCCAGTAATGAACGATAATTTTCGAACGCACCTATTATTTTTAATTTTCACATTCGATTTTTCTCTTGAAACCAGTATAGGGCGTTTTAAAGCTGAAAACTGGATAAAGCTAGTTCTAGTCCTGGAGCTTTTGTGTTGTGTAAATTTTTTTTAAACATTTGTTTGTACATACGTACATTATTAAAATTATATCGGGAGCCGCTACGCTTTTACCAGGAGAATGTATTGTGAGTGGGAAAATCACTCGGGAACAACTCATACTGGAGTGATGCATACATTCGTATTTAAAATACAATATTCGAATACATTTTGAAATACAATTGTATTTTATTAAGGTATTTGAAGTAATTAAGTAAAGTACAATTGTATTTAAGCAAATTATTTTATATATTTTATCAATGTAATTGTATCTGAAACAATGTATTTGAAATAAAAATTAATTTCGTACAATTTATTTAAAATAAAGTATTTGAACTACTTTCTATTCAAATATTGTATTTAATATTTATTGTAGTTAAATACAAATTTATTTAAAATACAAACGTATNAATGTATTTAAATTAAAAACGTATTCGATGTTTTTATTTAAAATAAAATAGTTCAAATACTGTATTTTCAATAAAAAATACTTAATGTTCTTTTAAACAATTTTGAATGATTGAAATATTTTATTCAGGCTACGCTAGCTACTAGCATTCAAAATGTTCGATTAAATAATGAATAATGAATTGATTATTTGTTTAAAATTTCTATGTAGATTAGTGAGATCAGCTCGCACATCGTTCCTGTACTCTGAAACAGGCTAATGATCATTTGAATACTAAAATCAGAAAAATTTCGTGACAATGTTACCAACAACTGTAAATAAAAATTTTAATGGGTTACTTTCTCGTCGTTCTGAATATTTGCAGCTAGTAGGACACACGAGCTTAAGTCATCCAAAAACAGAAAAACTAAATAAACAAAATACTGTATGCTGACAAACTAATCAAAAAACGAGAGAAGACTTATGCCAAAAATCATCTCATTCATTTAATTATTCATAAAAAAGGATATTGGCTAAGGAATTTGGATGAGATTGGAAGGGGGAGGGCCCTAACAACTATTCCGCGTTGGCCCATGATGAATGTCACGTGAATCAGGAAAACCCCGGGATATCTCCCGTAGGAAGAACCTGATCCGAAACAACCAGCAATGAGCTGCCTCATTTCAGACCTGGTGTCTAAGCTGCAGACTTAGACAACGAGGTAGAAATTTGGCCCACCTCCCACTTACGATGTCGAAGAGATAGAGAAACAGTGAATCAATCCACGAAGTAAACAGCAAAGGCGAATCGGCGAGAGGCCCATCCAAGTAATAATCATGCTAAATGCTGCTTAACCTCGGTGATCGATGGGACTGCGACTCTGTCACTGAGCCATTGTGACAGTATAGAATCCTTAGTTGCTCCCATATTCTCCCATACTCTCAATTTAGCATAAGTGGTAGAGACCCTAGACCCTCAAATTTAGGTTTTAACAAAGGACAACCAAGATTTTTATTGTAGGTAATCTGGAACAATGTAATTTGTAATAATAATTAGGAGGTGCGCAATGATTTTATGAATAGCAATTTTAGTGGCGACCAGATAACTGAACAATTTAACGAAAAATTATTGTTTTTGGGCATACTTTCGGGTATAACTCAGAAGAGAAGCGTCCAAGAAGAAAATGTCACGTAACCTTTTTTGTTGCTTGTCAAATTTCTTACAAGATAACATTTTTTTGATCCAAAAAATTTTAATTGTTTATTTTCACATTAAGAAGGTTTGGGAGTATCATTCAGAGAAGGAACAGGGGGTCCTTAGAACCCGGTCCTCCCTGCCCGCGCAGATGTACCGCCTTTACCGCGCACCTCCTCTTGCAAACTTGAAACTGTACGACTAGAATTGATTATATATTTTTTTTAAATACTTGGCGAGTTGTGTTTTTTTTTTTTTGTCGAGCATCTCCCTTTTATACCTAAGTTATCTATGAAAACGTTTTTTTTTTAATCCAACACATTTATAATGTGCCCCAAAATCTAATTAAGGTGGCTTTAGCGCCTAGTGCCGTATCAAAATGGGGAGACTAAAAATTAATCATCATTTTCTTTAAAATATGGTATAAAATTATCGTAGAGATTGTTGTAAGCCATATTCTACATTTTATCTGTTACTTTAGTGAGTTAATATAAAAAAACAAAAAAGTTTTATGGTGCCCTAATTGATGAACTGTTACGGTACGCTCCTAAGTTCAAGAGTAGTTATACCTATATATATGTACTCTGCAGAATGCAGACAGCTGAGAGCTGACTTGCACTCGCAACTGTATACTTAGTCTCCGATTATTTAAAGATTTTGTTCGATAACAAGACACTTTTCTCATGTCATCGAAAACTGCGTAATAATATATACAAGATAGTATATTTTTTACACCTTACGGGTTATTTATATAAGTGCAGCAGTAGGTTGTATATCGCGTAAGCTTGCATTTCCTATCTAACCCGTCTTAAAACTACGATTTTGTAAGCATGATTTCTTACAATTTTCATCGTCAACCTTAATTTTTTTTTATACGAATAAAAAGATGGGAATTCAAAGAATATAATTCAATTTTATTAACCTCGGTTGGGTTATTTATAATTTTAACATTGAGGCCACTGGAGCCACCTTAAAAGGCAACTTAACCTTATTCTCTTATAAGAGACCGTGTTAAACTGTCAATATTTCATAGTTATTTTATCGAAAATCTCCCTTAGTGATAAATTTGAATAAATTCATGTGCAGTTCTGATATGCTCAAATATAGCATACATTTTTTTGGCACGATTCTACATTTTGAACTTTTCTCCCAAATCTCCTTAACAAATACTGCATAAAAATATTCTTTGATTTCAACGTACTACAAAACAAATAGACCGGGAGCCCGCGACAAAATGTGTGTCAAATCTCATTTACAGCCATATGAATAGAAATAGTTACATTAGTAAAGTAAGAAAGGTTCATGATATTACCGAGGTCGTTTAGCGGGACATGGATGTAAAAATTAATAAAAAATATGTAATTTTTCAAAGCATTCTTGTCAAATCTTATTCATCTTTAAACTCAAATGGTAGTAAGTTTTTAATAAATAATTAATGAAAAAACGTTTCTTACACCTGACAAGCGGGGAAAAGTTGTTCTTACAGAGTGCAAATCATGTGATATTTTTCGAGGGTGGTGTCAAATTTTATTCACTTAATTATTTATATGAGAGGGAAGTTTGAACCATAAATAATTAGAAAAAAAAGTTCTTACAACTTGAACGCGGACCAAAAGAGTTCTTACACTACTTTCAAAGTGATAATTGAGAATATTCACTGAGCTCTTTTGCTGCAGTGCGCATGCAACAGTTATTATTTAGTTTTACTTCATCAATGGATTTAGTCGCATGCAAACTTAAAAAATAGATAAACTATACGAAATTATATGGAAAACATAGGAGGAAAACATATGCTGTTTTAAATGGTTTGAAGGTGACCCCCGCAACAGCTATCGCAGTTGTCCCATAGTTTAAGTGTAAGAAATGGGTTTTCGACATCAGAATAACGTACTTTATACAATGTATAACGTATTTTGGTGAATAAGATTTGACAAAAATTTTTGTCGCGGGCTCCCGGTCTAAAAGAAGCAACTATTTCTCAGTATTATCAATTTAGTATATTATAGTATAAGGTACACAAAATATACACTTAAAATTTTGTTGCAATCGGTATAGTAGTTTCTACACAGTGTAATTTTCAAAAAAAGATTTAAAAAAATGAAACTTAATGTCAGCTCTACAAATTTGACCTGACATCAACCCTGATTTTTTACGTATGATCTGTGACTAATTACAGTAAGCAATCAAAAAAATAATCTAAAAAAATTTTGAACACCTTTTTATTTATTTTTTTAAATCCTTAGTTTTAAAAAAAAATAACTTAGTCAATTTTTGATAAATTCTGACAAAATTTAATACACAAGTAGAGGGCTACAAAACAAACATTTTAAGACTCAGTGAGCTCAAATTGCATTGTTATAACAAAAGTTATAGATGTTTAAAGTTACTGAACAATTGTTGGTTATAGGATAAAGTTATCAGAAAAAAAAATTTTGCTCGTATACGTCAATACCTACTTTACGTGGACCGGTTACTTGCAGATCGAGATACTTGATGTATGCTGTTTGAAAAAAAAAACGATAACTTACGAAATTACCACTTTTTTAAAATGTGACGTAGCGGAAAAAAATCTTTTCTCAGCTTTTGTTGTATGGATATTTTTTTTTTTTTTTTTTACTTTGGCAGAAACCACTGTACCGATTGCAACAAAATTTTTA